TCAGCTGTTGGCTCTCACGCTGGCCAATAGAATCTTCCTGCCTATTCGTGGCAGCCAGCTATAGGCTCTCACTCTGGCCAGTAGAAAATGGCCACGAACTACATGAAAACTGCCGTAGAAGCATGAAAAAATCGATTATTTCCACTATCGATGGGATTTGGGAAATGCAAAGTCGGTCTTAGCCTTCCGCTAACTTGGAGCATGTGGATGTAAATTTTGGTGCAAATCCGTCGAAAATTGCGGCCGTGCATTCGTTACACACACACACACACACACACACATCCTGCCTTTTATAGATAGAGATGACAGATAATAGAGCCAAAAGTTGGGTACCTTGTCATTTCCTGGGGATTTACTATGATTTTTCTTGGTTATATTTTTTTTCCATTCTTGCACAGATTTATCTTTCTTTATTTCTTGTTCCCATTGGTTCCACTCTGCATTTTGGTTGCTCCAAATATTCTCCCTAAATTTTTACACTTCTTCAATAAATGATGGCTTTTTGACTTCTATAACTACTCTTCCAATTTCCCCGTAAAACTTCCTTTTGAAATATCTTATTTTGTCGATAGAACTTAAAACGCTTTTCATATCGTTATTGCAGCTTCTGTTAAAGTATTTCCCTGGTTGGGGAAATTTCATTTCCTGCTTTAATTTTATATTTCTGCTTTGATCTTCTTACGTTTTTGTGATGAGACATTTGAATTTCTTGAAAGTACCGATAATTCACATTTGATTTCCTTAATTTCTCACTTTAATTTTGCTTCCCAAGTGGGATCTTTTTTGTCTGTTGTTTAATCTTTCATTTGTCTTGATATTGAAATGTTCAGTAGCTGCCAGACCTGTTGCATATATGATATTATTTATTTCTGTGATGTTTTCTAATACACTGTCCATTAACAATGTCGTGTTATATGTTTGCACAATATGTTTATTGTACTTTGAGATGATCATTTTTGGAAGCCGACCACTTTCTGACATTTATGTGCGTGCTAGAAAGAAAGAAGATATTAATAAGAAAGAAAGAAAGAAAGAAAGAAAGAAAGAAAGAAAGAAAGAAAGAAAGAAAGAAAGAAATAGATAAATGGGAGGAAAGAGAAAAGGAGGAAATCGAAAACAAAAAGAAAGAGAAAAAGAATGAAAATCAAACAAGAAATATAAAGGCATTAAAAGGTTTAAAGAAAGAAGATATTAATAAGAAAGAAAGAAAGAAGTAACGAAAGAAAGAAAGAAAGAAGTAACGAAAGAAAGAAAGAAAGAAGTAACGAACGAAAGAAAGAAAGAAAGAAAGAAAGAACGAAAGAAAGAAAGAAGTAAAGAAAGAAAGAAAGAAATAACGAAAGAAAGGAAGAAAGAAATAACGAAAGAAAGAAGTAAAGAAAGAAAAAAGAAAGAAAGAAAGAAATAACGAAAGAAAGGAAGAAAGAAGTAACGAAAGAAAGAAAGAAAGAAAGAAGTAAAAGAAAGAAAGAAAGAAAGAAAGAAAGAAAGAAAGAAAGGAAGAAAGAAAGCGGTAACGAAAGAAATAATAAAAGAAAGAAAGAAAGAAAGAAAGAAAGAAAGAAAGAAGTAAAGAAAGAAAGAAAGAAAGAAATAAAGAAATAACGAAAGAAAGGAAGAAAGAAGTAACGAAAGAAAGAAAGAAAGCAGTAAGGAAAGAAAGAAAGAAAGAAAGAAAGAAAGAAAGAAAGAAAGAAAGAAAGAAGTAAAGAAAGAAAGAAAGAAGTAACGAAAGAAAGAAAGGAAGAAAGAAATAACGAAAGGAAGAATAAAAGAAAGAAAGAAAGCAAGAAAGCAGTAACGAAAGAAAGAATAAAAGAAAGAAAGAAAGAATTAAAGAAAGAAAGAAAGAAAGAAATGGGTTAAATGGAAGAAATAGATAAAGGGGAGGAAAGAGAAAAGGAGGAAATCAAAAACAAAAAGAAAGAGAGGGGAAAAAGAATGAAAATCAAACAAACTTTGACGATTATTTAAAAAATGTGGTTTTTCTCTTCAGTGATTTCAAGTCAGTTGTTTTCAAAGAATTCTGCTCTAATGTCTTTTTGATTCATCTTCATCAGTTAAAGAATCTGAATCAGTGCCGTTTTTTTTATGTCGCTGCTAGATTCATCCGTTTTATTTTCAGAGAGAGCATTATTTCTTATCGCATTTATTCTAGTTATTTAATGAGACATCATTAACTATTCGCCTCCTCATTCTCCAACTTCTTCCTCTTCTTCTTCTTCTTCTCACTTCCTCTTCTTCTCTCTTCCTCTTCTTTTTAATTCTTCTTCTTCCTCATCCTCCTCCTCCTCCTCATTTTGCTACTTTTCTTCTTCTTCACTTCCTCATTATTCTATTTCTTCTTTTCTTCCTCCTCCTCCTCCTCCTCATTCTGCTACTTTTTCTTCTTCATTAACTGATTTCCTTCTTCACCTTCTCATTTTTTTCTTCTTCTTCTTCTTCACATCTGCACCATTCTTCCCCTTAACCTCCTCATTCTTCTTCTTCTTCAACTCCTAATTGCTTCGTTTTCTTCTTCTTCTTCTTCTTCTTATTATTATTATTATTATTATTATTATTTTCTCTTCTTCCTTTCTTCTTCTTCTTCTTCTTCTTATTATTATTATTATTGTTGTTATTATTATTATTATTATTCCTTTCTTCTTCTTCTTCTTCTTCTTCTTCTTCTTCTTCTTCTTCTTCTTCTTCTTCCTTCCATCAAGGCATACACCCTTAGCAGTTATTCTGCCATCCATTCACACAAGCTCTTCTTTTTCTTCTTCTTTTTCTTATATTCTTCTTCTTCTTCTCCTTCTTCTTCTTCTTCTTATTATTATTATTATTTTCTCTTCTTCCTCTTCTTCTTCTTCTTCTTCTTATTATTATTATTATTATTATTATTCGCCTCTTCAGTATTATTTTACTTCTAAACATCTTCATTCTTATTCTTCTTCACCACCTCATTTTTATTCTTCTTATTCTCCTCCTCCTCATTATTATTACTATTATTCAGTTCCTCATTCTTCTTTTCCTCCTCCTCCTCCTCCTTATTATTCTTCTTCTCTTCCTCCGCCTCATGATTATTATTATTATTTACCTCTTCATTCTTCTTCTTCTTCTCCTCCTCATTATTATTTCTATTATTCAGCTCCTCATTTTTATTCTTCTTTTTCTCCTCCTCCTCATTATTGTTTCTATCATTCAGCTTCTCATTCTTCTTCTTCTCATTATTATTACTATTATTCACCACTCATTCTTCTATAATTATATTAAATGTTTTAGCCAAATATATTTGTTCGTGAATTGTTTGCTTTGAATACACAGCTGTCCGTGCCAAGATGGCTGATGATAATACAAAGTAGGTTGTGTTTCTTTATTGTAAATTCAACAACTACAAAGATACTTCACTGGCTGCCAGAGATTGTAAACGGCTGTCTTTGGGAAAATCAAAACGAGGGATTTACAAAAATTGAGTAAAAGTAAAAGTAAAGTAAAGT